AATTTTTTTCCTGCTTCCACGTCATGACCTACAAAAAACCATGGCAATTGCATCATTGCAAGCTAATTAAGAGCATCTCCAACAGCTTCCCCATCTTCTTGGTATTCTAAAATTTGGAGAATTTTGAGCTTTTTTTGGTCCAACAGATTCCCCATCTCATTCCTCAAAATGGGGATATGAGAGAAAAAATAGAGAGCCTTCCCCAAATCTGCAGCATTCTGCAAATATTTGGGGAAGCACTTTTTCACGTTCTTCTAGACTCAACCCACAAAAAACAACTCCATCTCCTCATTATAATAATAAATAATTTGGTCAAAATGGGGATTCTTCAAAATAATAAATAATTTATTATTTATTAGTCAAAGATGTAGAATATTTTTATTATTGTAATAAATGCATGATTCTTCAAAATGGGGAAGCTGTTGGAGTTGGAGCAAAAATAATTTGGAGAATATGACATTTGATTCCCCATTTTGAAGAAATTTTTGGGGAAGCTGTTGGAGATGCTCTAATGATCTATTGCGGTGATTTGATTAATATCAGATGGGGTATGAATGGGATAATTCAGTAGAACTCGTAGCGTCCTTTGATTAGAAAGGATAAGACTTTTTGGGGGGTTAAAAGGGCTAAGAGACGCTCAATTCCAGTGTCGTGAAAGGTGGGCCTAGTCCTTTTCTCGCCTTAAGTTACGTCTAGTATTTGGCTGAATCCAGCTTCGCACATTCCTCGAACTATCCCCCTTAACCCCCGTCTGACTTTCAAATGTCAGCATCAATACTGAGGGGGGGAAAAACCAAAATCAAATGTAATTCTGGCCATAATTCATATAGATTGGGATACGCGGAAACATATAGAAAAAACACATTATTATTGATTAATGGGAAAATTGCTTGGGGGAACCAAATAAAATTCGGCTATGCATCCCCAGCCCCCAACTAGAGTCAAACACTTGGGGGCACCTTGACCCAAGTACTCATGCTTTCTCACCCCAAACCCAACAGTGTTTCTCTACTTTATAGTGTATTTTTCCAGCAGTACCCATTTTGCCCTTTCTTCTCTCATTTTCGATTTGGGGGTGGGCGCTGAAATCGGCTATGCATTGAAGAACTTGGGTTTTGTCTTATTCGCCAGCCAAGCAACCCATCATGAAGTAGCGGTGTCAAATCAGTGAGCTGGGGGGTTTTATGCAGGGAAGGGGAAAAATGGAGGGAAAAATGTACACGGTTCCCTCCAAAATATTGCATTCCTCATATATACTCTTCTCTCTTTTGATCTACTGCTAAAATCTTCAACAACCTTCAACAATCATTTATATTCTGAACTTTTTCCTCTTAACTTCTTCAACAACCAAAATGGAAGATTCTTTAATGTGTGTGATTTCATTTAACAGTAACGCAACCCTTATTAAAGTCAATTCAGCAACAAGTTTAGCCGAATTGAAGATGAAAGCCGCAGAGAATTTTAGAGTACGGTTCGAAAGTTTGTTGATAAGTTACTCTATCGATAAGTTTCCCAATGTCTCGTTTGAGCTTTCAAAAGATGAAGATATTCTCAATATGATAGGTTATCATCGTTCAATGGGGTTAAATACGTTGACCATGACTGTTACTGAAAGAGATGAAGGACCCACTCATGCCATAGGGTCAGAAACAGAGCTTAAGTAAGTATTCAAAAGTATATTTTCATGTTCTGGATACACGTCATATATTCTATTATATATGTGACCTGAAGACATACCACGTGACATTTGGACCTTATTTGTGATATATTGTCTTTATTTGTGACATTTGAGTCTTATATGTGACTTTACTGGTAAGTATCACATGTGACTTATATGTGACCTGTACATTAAACCTGCAGTGTTCCTAATGTAAGCTCACAGTCATCAGAGCATATTGAGCAACCTTATGAGAGTATCACAATCGAGGAATCAGAGAGGATCCCAAATGACAACCCTCAAGGAGAGCATGTGTACAGTATGAACGACGTAGTAAGTGACTCGTCACGGATCCCAGCATGGTGGCACGAGGCAATTACTGGAAAAGGGCAGCAATTTGAAAGTGCAAAAGAAGTTAGAATGGCTCTTATATACTACTCTATAGCTAAGAAGTTCGCTTTCAAATATGTTAACAATGAGCCAAAACGTATTCGTGCTAGTTGCATGTTTAGAGAAGAAACAAACTGCCCGTGGTTGTTTTTCGCTTCACCATTGAGCCATGTGTCGACATTTGCTATAAAGAAATTTGTTCCTCAACATACATGTGGACAACATAACAGCACAGCTGGTCACTTCAGAGCATCAAGAAGGTGGATTGCGAGTATGCTACAATCAATTATGAAGAGGCGTCCATATATAACCCCAACTGACATTAGAAAGGAATTGCACTCTCAATATGGATTAAGAGTTAATTATTCTAAAGCTTGGCGTGCTAAAGAGACAGCAAAAGATGAAATATTTGGTTGCGCAAGGCATTCATATGATTTACTATCCTGGTTAGTCCTCGTTATTTATTGATGCGTGAACGTTATATTTCAAAGTTATTTGTGACAACTTGTTCCTACATCTGCATGTGAGATTTAAACGTTATATGTGATATTTTGACTTTATATGTGACGTTTGAGCATTACATGTGATAGTTAGATCTTGTATGTGATATTTGGACTTTCTATGTGACTTTTGAGTATTACATGTGATATTTAAACCTTATATGTGATATTTTGACTTTATATGTGACGTTTGAGTATTTAACAAGTTATTTGTGATTTAACCATCTTTTTAGGTACCAGATGAAGGTGACGGAAACAAATCCAGACAGTGTCTTCAGCATTGAACAAGAAGAAAGGAGATTCAAACGTTTATTTGTGTCGTATGGTGCATGCATACAGGGGTTTCTCAAGGGATGTAGGCCGTTGCTCTTTCTAGATGGGACTTTTCTGAAGGATCGTTACAAAGGGATCTTATTAGGTGCGACCGCTTATGATGGTAATCAAGGCATATTTCCACTCGCATTTTCCGTTTGTGACCAAGAAAATGAAGCGAATTGGAGTTGGTTTATTCAAGGATTGCGGTATATATTGTACAATCGAACAGAACCATACAATCCACCCCATCCCCTTGTAATTCTGTCAGACGCCGACAAAGGAATAAAGCAATCTTTGAAAAATATATTTCCAGATGCGTACCACTCTAGGTGTGTACTTCATCTTGTTGAGAATTATAAATTGAAGCTTAGAGAGATGGGTTTTGCCTCAAGTGCTGCTCAACGTATTTCAAAATTATTGGAGTTTGCTGCATACAAGTACACAGAAGGAGAATTTAATGCTGTTTTGCGTCAGATTCGAATGACAGATCAAAGAGCTTACCAAGTAGCTCTAAGTTATGGTCCTAGTAATTGGGCCAATTCTGTATTTCCTGGTATAAGGTACGTCAATTATCATTACCTTTACTGGTTATATTATGCTGTTATATGAAATTGAGCCTTTAAATGTCACATTTCGCTTTTATATGGTCGTTCATCTGTTACGTGTGACCTTTACTTGTATCGTGTGACAATACTCCATTACATGTGACCAATAGCCGTTATCTGTGATCATTTGTTGTTAGTTGTGACATTTGTTAGTTATTTGTGACACATAGCGGTAAATTGTGGTAATGATTTTTTGTTTTCAATCAGATATGGGCATATCACTTCCAATGTCGCTGAATCTTTCAACAGTTGGATTCGTGTGGCGCGAACACTTCCCATTTGCGATATGATGGATCACATTCGTGTGCAAATTATGGAAAGGATGAATACTCGTCGCGAGATGGCAACAAAATGGAATAGCTATCTTTGTCCTGAAGCGGAAAAAATCCTCCAAGAAAATGTCACCAAGGGAAGCACTCTTGAAGTATCGCATTCTACAGCTGAAATCTTCGAGGTATCATCACAAAAATCAGTACAAGTTGATTTGGGACACAAAACATGCACGTGTCGTGCATGGGATATATTGCGAATACCATGTAAACATGCGTGTGCCGCTATTAACTTCATGCATAGAGATGTGTACCAGTTCTGCGATTGGTTCATGACGACTGAAGCTTTCAGGAGAAGTTACGAACCAATCCTCTTTCCTGTTCCAAATTACGATAAGCCAGATGTCACAGATGAAACAATTAGCATTCTTCCCCCAAAGACGACAAAGAGACGTGGAAGGAACAAGAATAGGCGTATCAACAACAGATCTGAGAGTAGACGTGCAATTAGATGCTCAAGATGTCACGCTGAAGGACATAACCGAGCCACGTGCACTAAACCTATCGAAGATTAACGTTTCCAGGCAGAATGCAAACGCTTTTGTGACTATTGTCTGTTACATGTGACTTTTGCCATTTTGTTGTGACATTTGTGTTTTGTATGTGACAAATTACCTATTCGTGTTACTTTTGCCACAAAAAATGTGACGTATTACCTGTTTGCATATCACATGTGACTATTGTAACATACCACAACATACCAAAAGTCAATCATACCTACCAAAATGTCACATACAAGTCTAATAAGTCACAAAGCATACTAAAACGACACAACCGCCTCAAATGTCACACAAAATAAAAAAGTGTCACATACAAGACTCAAAAGTCACACAGAACACTATAAAGTCACACACAAGTTTCAAAAGTCACAGAACATACTAAAAAGTCACATGATGGCCCCAAATGTCACACAAAATAACAAAGTGTCACATACAAGACTCAAATGTCACACAGAACACTAAAACGTCACATGTGACTATTGTATGTTACATGTCCATTTCATCCTAATGTGGCGTATCACCTGTCCGCGAGACATATTACCAGTCCGGATTTAATATCTTCCAGAACAGATCACAAAGAATTTAATAAACAGCTAGTAACTGATAAGGAGAATATTTACAGACCTGTACAAATGTAACATACCACAACATACCAAAAGTCAATCATACCTACCAAAATGTCACATACAAGAAGCAAAAGTCACACAGTACACTAAAATGACACACGTGATATTCAAAAGTCACACAGAACACTAAAACGTCACATACAAGACTCAAAAGTCACACGGCATACTAAAACATCGCGTAACAGCCCCAAAAGTCGTCAACAGCAATCCAACAAATGTCACACACAGCTAGTAAACTGGTTAGCCTGTACATCACCACGTTTAAACAAATGACACAGTTAATGTAGAGTCTAATACTTCCACTCAATCTTAGGTACATCACTACCCCCAAAGTACAAAAAATATTCTGGATCATCACTGTCTAATTTCAACCGCAGTTTTTTCCCTTCACGCCCTTCACATATGAGTTGAGCAGCAAGTCCTGCTCGTAGCATATGTGACTCCCTGTGCAAGGCTTCAACTTGCATTATCTCCCTTTCCTCGAGAATCGTCTTAATGAAAAAATACGCATGTATGCCACAATCATACCTGTAGAAATATCACATAACACTTAATACCAGAAATATAATATAACATAATAAGCATATAACACGAATGTAAAACTATCACATAACAGCCCCAAAAGTCACACAATACTGAAATGTCACATATAGGCCCCAAAAGTCACACAGAATAACCAAAAGTCACATAACAGCCCCAAAATGTCACATAACAGCCCCAAAAGTCACATAGAATACTAAAATGTCACATATGGGCCCCAAAAGTCACACAGAATACTGAAATGTCACATATAGCCCCAAATTGTCACATATGAATGTGAAAATATCACCCATTCAAGTATCATATGCATTAATAAACTGTTTAAGTGTAAGAAACTTACGATCCTTTTTGCATACGACAGGGAACCGCTTCATAATCAAATGCTCTAAATGTCGAACTCTGGTCAAATCCGCTCACCATCCTATCTAAAAATAGTTGGATGGCCAACACGTCCCTAGCCCATGCCTCGTGGCCAGCGGAGCTGTAATGCCTGCATTTTTTTTTGCCCCGGATTGACCTCGACGACATGCCAATGATCAGCATGACATATCGGGATTATCAACACATCCTTCCCTTCGTCGATATGCTTCTTTATATAGTTTTTATAGATCTTTCGCTCATCCAACTTTGAAGCAGTTAGCAACCAAATCTACCGGAAAAAGAAAAAAGATAAAGCGGGAGAAAGTCAAATAACATATAACTGCAAAAAATGATCCACATTACTCACACTAAAATAGGATGTGATAATAGCAAATTTGCGATCCCGAGCGGCATTTTCGGGGAGCTTGAGCCAGTTCCGAAGTCTTGCAACAAGGGCTTCAACCGTCTAATAATTGCAAACATAATAAATCATGTAAATATCAAAAACTTGACTAACAACGAAACTTAAACAGAAACTAACCTCATCCTTCAATGGCCCACCGCGTAGAAGATGAAGAATATCGTATCTGTTTATAGTTTGGTCCTCAACCTCCAAAACAATCCTCCTACAAAAATGTATCACATACAAGAATGTATAAGCGACATATCCAACCGATTAATAAACTGTCACAGGAGAATACTAAATGTCACATAAAAACTGTAATGATCACAATTTACGTGCTTATGTCACAAACGTCATGTAACTATCACAGACCACTTATATATATCACAGAATAATACTTAATACTTACTTGTCAACTTGTAACGTTAGAAAATGTTGAAGCCACTTGTTTTCATCTTCCGACGCATCAGGTACATCACGAACAGTGAAGTTATGATAAAATCCTTCGTCAACTGTTCCCGGTAGCCTGATGTCAAAGTCTTGGGCAGAAGGAATGCCCATATTCAACATTGACAATAATTTTTTTTCATCTTCAGTTTTTTCCCTTCTCCATAGCTGAGGCACGGATGTTCTCATAGGTGGGTGTGCCATTTCACGTGGCTTCTTCTCCTCTATTGTCTCCCCCTTGTCATCATCATCTTTCACCAAAACGACACTTTTTTTCCCTTTCATCTTTTTCTTAGGCATTTCTGTACAATATGGAGATTCTAGGGACTTGGGCTTCTTCGTTGTTCTTCGGCTCCTTGCACGGAGCCCCTGAACAAATTCTCCCAAAGTAGACTCACCTTCCTCCCTCCTCTTCCTTCCCCTCTTCTTCTTAGGAACTTCCTCAACAACTTTCCGCGCTTCAGACTATATAAAGATCACAGTTAATGAATATATATAATAGTAAACTGACATGAATATATATCACATGAGGAAATCATGCATCACAAATAATAAGCAAAAGTCACAGATAAACTGTTTACGTCACAAATAACAGGGAGCTATCACAAACAGTGTGTACATGTCACAGACAACCAAATCTACCGTAGGAGAGTTACCTGCTCAAGTTCAATGCCCACTTCTTGGCCTTGATCACCTTCTCCCTCTGCTTTCTCTTCCTTCCCTTCTTCTTTCTCCGCCTCATCTTGTCTCTCTATTTGAGGCTGCATACATGTTAAGAATGTAACCAATTTTGTTCAGCAAACTTTTATATGTGATATTTTTTCCTCGTTTGAAATAGGAAATAAATAAATTATAACCTCTTCTTTTTTGGGCATGATTTGTTTCTCTTCCTCAAATCTTTTCTCAATTTCGGCCTTAATGGCCATCGTATCAACGCCACGAGCAACAAGTTCTTGCTCATAGGCTTCATTTAGCATCACCAACTTTTTATAAGCGTCATCCTACATTAACAATAAACTGATAGTGAGTAAATGTCACAAATACAAAGATCGCACATAAAGTCATCAACTTTACCCCTTTTTCCACTCTTTTCTTCCTCGAAGCTTTTTCACCCGTAGCTTCCTCCTCCATTTCAGCCCTCCTCTTTGTAGACTTATGCTTGATCTCCTCATGTACATACCGCGGCAGGTCATGCTCCGGTAAGATGTGGATTGCGGCCTCCGATTTCTTCGTTATTGTTGTAGTCCGCAGTGAACCCACTTTCTTACCCTCCAATGTCCAATTGGTCATTGGTGGCTTCGATTCATCCACTTTCGCCGGCTCCTTAATGTTTGATATCTCATAATACCATAGCTACAAAAAAGCCACATTCAAACAATGAAGTATCACATATTAGATATAAATGTCACATGTAAATGGCAATAATCACATACCAGCAGATAATATCACACATTAACTACAAACATCACATATCAGGGCAAATATCACACATGGGTCACAAACGTCACATATAACTAGAAAATATCACATGTAGAAGACACTTATCACATAAACACATATTAACTATAAATATCACATGTCATATATTAGTGTTATATATCACATGTAAATGGAAATAATCACGTGTAACAAGATAATATCAGATACAAACTACAAATAAATAGCGGACTTAAACAATACCAATTAGATACAAATGTCACATATAAATCTCAAATATCACATATAAAGGGTAATGATCACAGATAAGGTGAAATGTCACATATAAATCTCAAATATCACATATAAAGGGTAATGATCACAGATAAGGTGAAATGTCACATATAAATCTCAAATATCACATATAAAGGGTAATGATCACAGATAAGGTGCAAATGTCACATATAAATCTCAAATATTACATATAAAGGGTAATGATCACAAGTAAGGTGCAAATGTAACATATAAATCTCAAATATCACAGTTAACTCACCGATAGCAAGGGAGCGCAGCCGCTAAGATATGTCAGCCCCTTCGTCGCTTTCTTCACAGCCTTGAAGGAGTCCCACAATTCCTTATAGATGATTGTCGCCCATGGGAAATGATCAACCGCATCTACTCGAGCCACATATTTGAACATATGCCGCGGTGCATTCATTCTCGCGGTCGGGGTCCATATCATTGTCAATTGATAGAGGATTTGAAGCATAACAAAATCCGAAACATCGGATTTCTTTTTGGACCGAACCAATTTCTCCAATAGGGCCTCAAGGTAGCCTCGGCCACTCTTGTATTGTGATTGTTGCTTGTTGCTGAAGTATGTGGTCCATATCCTATTATCCATGTCGCGATTGCCTTCGGGTTTCTCCCCTTCATCATTAAACCGAGTATGTTTGCGCACCCAATTTAGATCAAACGTGTACGCTTGTTTAGTCCCGGTTTGGCTATCATTGAAGAAAAACTTCCCCGTGGCTAAATCCACATTATCCAGCAGCAGCATGATGGTGGCCTTGTCGGATGGAATCATACCAAAACTAACATAGTTCTTGAAATTGGAGGATCCATAAGCCCTCCAATGTTCAGACCTCATTTGTGGGACAATGCCATCCATAAATTGACAATATCCACGGATATTGCAACAAATTCTTATATCATGTTTACTGTAAAAGACAACACAACAGATACTAAATCAACTGTCTGAGATGATGAATTGACAATGCCAAAACTAACTTAGGGTTCTAATGCGTATAAATTCACAATGCCAAACAAATTAAATGAACAGATGTGAACAATTGGGTAGATACTTACATCTCAGGCTTTATTGTAGCTGATTCAGATGATGAATTCGACATCTGTATTTTTAGCAGCGTCACTGTGGGGTTCGGTGAGGATGAGAGATTCTGGCGGTCGACGAGCTTGCGGTCGTCGGTGGGGGGGTCCTTGTCGGCGGACGAGAGTCGACGAAGTAAAGGAGAGTCGCCGAAGAGGAATACGACGAGCGGCGGCGGATTTCAGAAGAACAGGGTTTCGAAGTTGGCGACGAGCGGGTTTCGAAGAAGACGAGTCGTGGCGGCGGTCTTCGACGAAGACGACGAAGTCGAAGAGTCGAGGATGAAGTCGAGGATGACGATCTAAAGGGTTCGCCAAAGAAGAAGGCGACGAGCACGAAGTCGAAGAAGTCGAGGATGCAGCGGTCTTCGATTGTGACGACGAAGACGAACACGAAGTCGACGAACGAGACGGCTGAAGCGTTGTCGTCGGCGGCGGAGGAAGAGGGTTCCGGAAGGGGGAGAGATTCAAACTCTTTGACGGAGGTTTGAGGGTTTTGGTAACAGCGCTGCTCAGAAAATGACGGTGGGGATGTGACTTTTTCAGTTTTAAATTGCCAAGGGTAATTTGGGGATTTATTTTTGGGTTATGGGTCTGTATACTATTTGGGGGCTTTGTTGCATTTTTTTTCTGTATAAGGGTTTTCCAGTTATGATTCTTAGGCTGGGGGTGGGGATGCATAGCCGAATTTTATTTGGTTCCCCCAAGCAATTTTCCCTTGATTAATTAGTATAGTTATCCTCACTCTATCAATATAAATACATCAACCTTGAATAGAATTTCACAAGTTACATCCACAAAGGTTTTCAGCTGATATGTAATCAAGATTTTCCAAATATCTCAAACCTGAGTCTAATCCATTCAGGCATAAACCTCTTCACAAGGTGAGCATTATACAATCAAGGGTTAATTATGGATAGACCGTCTGTACTATCGCCAAATTTGAACTTCCTACCAATGTAGTTCTATTGTTGCAGATAGGCCCCTTGCAGAGTTCTGTTGCTGCAGATGTATCACTAGGTGAAAATCTATTGTTGTAGATAGACCCTTGAAAAGGAGAAATTCTTAGGGAGCACCTAAGTGCCTACACCTCTCCAATAGGAGGGGGGGCATATACCACAAGAGGGGAGAATGTGATGTCACATTCCGTCCTCTAGTGCCACATTGTCCCTTCCTATCGGACGGGTGTAGGCATCTTGTCTACTCCATGAGTAGGTAAGAATTTCTCATTGAAAAGGGTAAAAAACTTTCAAAAGGAATCTACTGTTGCAGATATAACCCTAGGTGAAAATCTGTTGTTACAGATAGACCTTTGAAAAGGGTCAATAAATTTTCACTCAAGGGAGCTATTTGCAACAGTAGAATTACAGGGGTAGTAAGTAAATTCAGCCTAGCAATAGCAGAGGGGGTCTTATCTGCAAACCTACAATTGACAACTATAACCAACATCCTCCCATTCTTCATCGTAAAACACCAAACCGAAGTTCTTCAGTCGCTTGAAGCGGCTCTAAGGAATCAACGATGTCTCTCATCAGAGGTCTGGCCTTAGGATTGCGGTTAAGGCAATGATAAGCTAGCATTGCAGCCTTGTGCACACCTTTGACGGGGTAATCTCCATCAAGCCTAGGGTCTATGATCCCTAGAATCTTCTTCTTCTCTGTAAGGCGAGGTAGGGCCCAGTCAGTGAGCGTCTGCTCACGAACTGGACGCGATTTGTCTAATGACTTCCTTCCTGTTAAGAGTTCTAGAAGAACAACTCCAAAGCTGTACACATCGCTCCTAGCAGTCAGATGACCTGCATTATGAGAGACAAGTTTATCGGTTACCCGGTTAGGTCCAGATAGGCCAAAAAGAACTTGGTTGGAAGCACTTAATAAGGATACGAGTAAAAAAAAATAGGATTCATGCAGCTCACCTTGAAAATTTTGGATAATTGATGCTGCTGGCGCTAGTGGTGGTGGTGTTTTTGTCTGGTTAAACTTATCGACGCTCAGAGAAAAGAGTGATAACGAAGTTAAGTGGAAAGCTATGGTTAATTAATATCCAACATCTTTTAAGTTTTTTATAATGGGTTTCTTTGTGTACAATACTACGGACACTTGATTTTGTGATGTCAGTTATCTAAGTTTTACACCTTACACTATAGCGTCATCAAATGAGAACAGGAAACTCACGTACACAAAAAAAACTCTTTGAAACATATAAGATCGAGCATGTAGAAACACAAAATTTATTCACTTCAAGTAACTGGTATCAAGATTAATGTTGAAATTTAAACTAGTGTGTAAATGAAAATGACGTAATTTTACCAGTCATAATGTATTCAGGTGCAGCATATCCATAAGTTCCCATAATCCGAGTTGAAACATGAGATTTGTCACCAACTGGCCCATCCTTGGCCAGGCCAAAATCAGAAAGTTTCGCATTATATTCCTGATGTATAACATACACAACAAGTTAATCAAAGCTTATCAACTTCATCCTAGGAAAATACAAACCGTTGAGTCAAATAATATTTTGTACCTGATCTAGCAAAATATTAGACGTTTTAAAATCACGATAAATGACTGGCTTCTCAGCTTCATGGAGGAATGCTAGCCCCTTTGCAGCTCCAAATGCAATTTTCATGCGAATTGACCACGGAAGAGGAAGCAATACTCCTACATTTGATAGAAAAGTGTCAACTAAGGAAAACAAAATAAAATATTTTTCGTATGAGAAAAGGGCAGCGGAATTACTTGAAAAGAGATTGTTTTCCACACTACCACGAGGCATGTACTCATATATTAACACACGGTGTTCCTTTTCGCAACAATATCCGACCAATTTTACTAAATTCGGATGCGAAAGTTGCCCAAGGAAAATAACTTCAGCCTGCAAACAATTAGAAGATTTATTTCGATATCGACTCAAAAGACCAATTCTTAATGTGCTAACAAGAGATAAGTTACCAGCCATTCTCTATGACCTTGACAACTATTATCACCATCATGAACCTTAACCGCTACTTGACTATGTTGCAGGCCCTCTCTTAAATCTTCAGGAATAAATCCTTTATAAACATTTCCAAATCCTCCTCCCCCTAAAATATTATCCTGCCTGAAATTGCCTGTAATTGCCTTGAGCTCATTGAAAGTGAATGCTACGAGAGGATTTGTTGTTGCATTCTGACGCAAGTCCTCGACTTCTTTAGGATTCGAAGGCATTTTGTGATCATCTTTTCCTCGTTTCTTCTCTGAAGTTCCGTTTACTGTCAAAATTGCGCCCAAATCATTTAAAAAAAGAATATGATGCATAGAAAAGGAATTTTCTAACTAAAGAGGCCCTAACCACGGAGAACATAGTATAAGTTCTAGTTCAAGTACATCCCTAGTTAGAGAAAATTTGTTTTGTTCATAAACTCTTTTGGATATTAATTATGTTGTCTGGTTTCAAGCAGTTTATAGAAAATTTAATTTCTCTCTACTATATGTATGGCCGGCTTTGGTTCTTTCCTATATCTATGTCAACGGTGAATGACGGCAAGGCCCTCTCTTCATCTTCATAGATGTTTGAAAGAAGAAGGTCATACATCCCTAGTTAGAGAAATTACTTTTTCTATCTACTAGCTTATATGGATACACTTTGTATCTTTTTTTGTAATGACACTTTTGTTTTATAAATGAACGGGGAATACCCCTTGTTTTTCTCTAAAAAAAAGTTCTAGTTCAAGTAGCCTATGATCGAGAATCCCTATGATAACTTGAATATATTCTATAATTAGTTATCTATGTGAATAATGAACAAGGTAAAAGAAAACCACATAAAGCTTAAATATAAATCACATATATCCCAAAAATAAAATTGAGAGGACAAGTTTCACCTGGCTTTGCATGGGAGGATACTCTGTTGAAAGATGGTTTCCAGCCAAACCAGCAACCACCCATTTTCATCTCAAAAAGCCAAAGATATTCTTGTAAGTTTCACAGAGATGATGAGAGAGAGAGAGAGAGAGAGAGAGAGCTGAGCTTGATAGAATTAACTAGTGGGAGTGAGCTTCTCTCGATGGGTCTATTAATGGGCAGATAAAAAGGAATGAGAGTGAAACAAGCAGGTCGAAATTGATGTAGAGAGAAGAAAAGGGTAGCTTTTTAAATGGGTTTTTTAATTTGTTAGTGTGAAGTCTAAAGCCAAGAAAAAAAGGCCATAATTCACAACAAGAATTGTTTCTTTTGTTGATAGTGGGTGCACATCAGAAGGAGAAGAGAAAGATATCTATATTGGGTTCACACTCCACTCTCTCTAGAAGACTAGCGCTAATTATTAGGGAATGTTCAGTCTTTACTGGCAAATTAATAACTGAGAAAATCTTCCTTAAAAAATTAAAGAGTTTTCTCGATAATAGTCACTTTAATCCTTTGTATTTTGAAAATGAGTCCCTCGAATATTCATTGGAATAGGCCCCTCTATTCTTATATCTTGTTGCTGTTTTGCTTGAAGCGAGAGATTAGAAACAAATTACAAGAATTGGGAACTTTAGTTTCTATGATTTGGAGGGGCTAATAATTTACAAGAATGTCCTTTCTCTGAACAAGTGGTCCTTTTTATACAATTCTCCTTAGTCCTTTCTCCACTCTTCTTATTCCTTTTTTCTACTGATTTCCTTTTTATCCTGGAGACAATGATGAAGTATTTGAGCTGTGTCTGTTGTGGACCAAAATCCATGATAGCAGCTCTCAGTGCTCTTCTTCGTTGCTCTTTGTGGGGGTTGTCATTGAGGCTGAAAATCCATATCCATATCTGCGGGTATTATCCGTAACCGTATCCTTAGGATACAAGTTACTCAAATCCATAACCGATAGGATATGATTGCGGATACGATTATTTAGTGAAATATCCAGATCCGTATCCGAAATATCATACTCCCTTTAAAAGCACGAGTTCAGAAAATCTTTTTTAGACAAATATACCTCTTTATAGTTTGAACTACTTTATCTATAATCAAATTCTAATTTTCAATGGTCAATATTTCCCTTCACTATTTTGAATATTTTATTTATATCTTTATCTATCCTAATCATAATCATATCTTATCCTAATCCTATGTGAACCACGTTTAGCTTAACAATTTAAAAAAATAATACTAATAAAATATATAAAACATAAAAATGATATTAGTTTGTTAAGATAAAGAAATTACAAGTAGATAACATATTATAATACATGAAGTATTGCAAAAAACCCATAAAAAGTTTTAAAATTACAAAAAAGACCCTAAAAAGTTCAAAATTATAAAAATCATCCCAATGTCTCAAAACTTAAAATGAAAAACATGAAATTAAAAAATTAACATCAGTTTGTAAAGAATTTAAAATTTACAGTTAACACCTCAATGTCTCAAAAATTATAGAAACACCCTCAAAAGTTTAAATTACACACAAGCACATTAAAATTCTAAAATTTTAAAACTTACAAACAACACAGATGAATTCAAGAGATTACCATGATACACCTAAAATTTTTAATATTTAAATTTAAATTTTTTAATTAACACCCTTAATATCTCAAAAATTATAGAAACACCTTCAAAAGTTCAAATTATAAAAAGCCACCCTAAAATTCTAAAATTTGTAAATAACATAAGATGAATTCAAGATATTACCCTTAGACACCTACAAAATTAAAATTTGCTGAAATTAACCTCAAAATTTTTAAAAAACTCCTTCAAAATTTAAAAATTGTAAAAAAAACTCTAAATTTTCAAAATTTTTAACTAGCACACATCAAATTCGTCGATTGGTAGACCGCTGAAATTTAATATTTTTCAAAATTAATCTATAGTTTTAATAATTGCAAAAGACACCCTCAAAATTTTAGAGTTACAAGAAATATACTAACATTTAAAAAATTACCACCAACACATGAAACATAGAATTTACAACTACCAAACTTAAAAGTAAATTTTTTTAAAAACTCTTTAAAAATTTTAAAAATTATAAATCACACCCTCAAAGTTCAAAACCACAAAAATGGGCTAAAATTTTAAAACTTGGCAAAGAAAAGTGTAATTGTTTGGTATTTTTCATATATATATATATTAAAATTTCTAATTTAGGGATTTACTATCCATTTTCAACATCTAAGAATAGTCTAAGTTGATACTGGTAAACAAAAACAATAAGAATTGATTAAAAACATCCGGTTAATGGATAAAATTTTTAAAAATATTATAGATTAAAAATTATCGGCACTATATAAATTAAAGTAATTTCATATAATTTTAGTAATAAGTTGGGGTAGCCAAAATACATTCGTAACATTAATTGATAGATGTTTAAATCCATAGAAATGATAAAACACTATAATATTATACCTTAGCATTAATTGATTTTAATTTAGAAACTTTAATCTTTGACGTTAATAATATTTATAGGGTAAAAGAATACAAAGAATTGTATATGGAGAAACTATTAGAATATTTAGGGATAACTTTAAAAGAATTGAGTTATTTCCATTGCAAATGGGAAAGTGATGGAAATAAATCTAAATTCAGAAAACGTCAATGAATCACTTGAATTGGCATTAACATAAGACATATCTATTAATGAAGCACTGAATGAGTTACATTAAAAAATAATTTAATAACTTTATCCTAATCAAAGAAAAAATCTCCATGGAAGACATAAGAAAAATTAGTAAGTATTCATAAATTCCATACTGTATTCTTCAAATTAAATATTAATATTATAATCTAAGAGAAATTGGTAATGAATATGCAGATATTTAGTTTAGATCTTTATGGAAAATGACAGTGATAGGGCAAAGGTAATATTATTAAAATAACAGAAATTCTTATTGGATGCACATCAGAAGAATTCATTTTAGAGGAAAATAAAGAGATAGCTTCTAATTTATTTAAGTAATAAATTAGGAACACAAAGAATTTTATATATATGAAATTAATATTTATTCTCATTGAAATAGAAAAAAAAATCAAAGTCTATATTTTGAGCAGTTTGTGTTGAACATCATAAGTACATTTGACTTCTTTGTAAAGTTAAATGAGATGATAAAAAATTAACGAGCCCAGGAAAGATAATAGCATAAAAAATACAAAATTAGCCTGATGTCACAATTGATGTAGATGATGAAGACAATACTCTAGAATTGTCCGAGAAATGATAAATGATAAACCTGAAGAAGGATTGATCTTAACTCAATAAAAAATAAAATAGAAGAAATAAAAACAATATTTTATGAATATTTTATATTTTCTGAATATTTTATAGAATAGTTTAATTATTTTGAGTGAAATTAGGAATCTTTAGAAGAGAGTTTCATGAATTTTTTTCAGTACTTTTATATTGTTATGTGGATGTTTTTATCATATAAAAGTATACTAGAGTTAGCATTAATCTTTAATCTATATTTTTTATGAAGTCTATCAATGATTATGAATAAACTTCATATTCTCTTTTGCATCGTTTTAACATACTTTAAATCAATCATTTTGACATATTGGTTTTAAATATTCACCTTCATTGTATAACATTATATTAATATTTTCACTTTGCAATGCTATACTTTCTCAAATAAAGCTTAGTTTCATATCGATCAAAGATAATATGAAAATTTAAATTATTTTTAAATTATATTTGTTTTTTGTCAGTTCAAATATCAACATGAAAATTTAAATAGGGTGTATCCCATTTAAACAAACATAAAAAAATAATTGGGATGTAAGAGTTTAAAGAAAAAAATGAGCATAAACTGCCAAAAATACTTAATCATGGTATTAAATCACGTGCATTGCACGTGTGTAAAAACTAGTCTGAATATATGTTGGTCATATAGTTGCTATTGTTTAAATCCTTGAGTTGTTTAAATCATTGGATTATTGAATTTGAGACTATTTTTTGATGATCAAGAGATCCAATCTTAGCTTTTCAAACATAAGAAACATGTCGATGAACTCTCTTCTATTATATGAACTATACTTTTTGATACATTTGTTCATTTTCGCTGGTTCATTTTATAGACGCATGTATATCCACACATATATATCAATATGTATATCCCAATATATAAGTTTCCTTTTTTTGAGAAAAAGGATGGATTACCAAAGTAGTAATCCAGTCAGCTAAATTAAACAAAATTGGTTGTTACAACATAATACACATCTCCAACCAAGAATGTATACACTAAGTCAGCTATGATTTACAAAAAAAACTGTACCAGTTCCCCTCCCCTGCTATCATCTATCAACAGCATAGCATAAAATGTAGCATAAAACCAACACTTATATAGAGTTTTCATATTTAAACAACAAAACAAATTCACTTTTCCAGGATTAGCCTTCATTCCAGCAAAACTGTATCTAGTGCACTCCCAGCAGCAGGTACAGAAACTCTGGCATTTGCAGCAAAAATCCTTGCCCTTTTCCTCCTCCTCTCTTGCAATCTAGCTGCATGTTCAGATACCATCTGTGAACCTATCCAAAATTTCGCAAAAGTCAAAATTTTGCCAAAAGCTCAAGTGATTTCCTCCTCTTATTTGAAAAAATTCTATCATTTCTTTTCTGCCAAATACACCAAATAAGAGAAGAAATAATCACATCTCTTTCAATATTCTAGCTATCATTCTCCTCCTTAATCCAAGTATTCCAAATTTCTTTTAAAGAGTACACAGTAAAATATTTTTTAATTTTTAATTTATATTGAATAGATCTCCATATTGAGTATACAAACTCATATTTTATAAAAAGATGAAGATGATTTTCCTCTTCTTTGGAACAAAAGCAACACATCAAATCCATATGAACCCCTTTCTTTTCTAATTTTTTTTTGTGTTTAATCCATGCCTTAAAGCCAACCAGACCAGAAATTTCACCTTTAAAGGAACAGTGAGTTTCCAAAGATTTGTGCAATCATATCTTAAACCTCCATCAATAAGAAATTGATAAAAATATTTTACAGTAAACTTGTCTTTTGCTTCCCAAATCCAAATTCTCTTGTCTTCCTTGTGTACAAAATTAGCAAGCATAATATTATTCAACATATTAACATATTGGAAAACCAAATTTCCAGTCAACTTCCTTTGAAATTGAATATCCTAAATCCATTCATTATTTATCTTTTTTCTCAAACTACTAATAGAAGCAAAAGGGGAAGATGCAATATTAAAAAGAAAAGGAAACATAGAAGCCAGTGTATTTGCACATGT